TAAAATTTTATATAATATAATGTGTAAAATTTATGTATAATTATATTTCTCATATACATATATATTATATACACACACATTTATAACATACACATTAAAAGGTGAAGAAGTGAACAGTAAAGCTCTAGAAACAAAACTCCAAAGCATCTTAACTTCAACCTTAGATTCTTCTATATAGGATATTAACCACAACAATGAAAACAGCGAGGTATGACTTATGAGATCAATTCGGCTACCCATACACCCTTACCATGGAACAACGGAAAGCAAAGCTAGGGCAGTTAGGCATTCACCAACTACTCCTTTTACGATTTTATGCATGAAATTCCAAAACTTAATAAGTTATCATTCATACACTATTTATAACTATAAGAAATGTTATTGGGACAACTATTTTGTTCTATCATTTTATACAACCTGACGTGACCAGTTGACATGAACATAGTTGTTGAAGAATTATTCTCGTGCCGACAGAGACTAAGAGAAGCAATGGAGAAGCGACATTATGCTCTTTTTTTCTTGCTTATAAATAATAATAATATGACAGGGAAGCCACATCAACTGTTCACGTCAGGTTGTATAAAATGGTAGGATAAAATAGTTGTCATAGTAGCATTTTCCTTATAACTATTACAGTATATTAGGGTTTAAAAGAGCAGTGCTATAGAAACAATTTTTTATTATCAAATTTTGATACAACTTCCACATTTCATTAAAGGAATGGTTGCATTCAATATTATGGATCCCACATGAATTAAAAGAACTAATTATTTAAATATAATACGTCATGTTATACCAAAATGTGGTATAAAAAAGTTGTTTCAAAATCATTTCTCGAGTTTGAAAAATTAAAAGAAAAGCATTTTATATAGGTTTTACATATAGCCTTTAACCTTTAGAGTGAAAAAATATAGAAATAAGTCAGTGATATTGAAATACCCTAAATACAATATCTAACTCATTAATTCAAGAATCATTTGATTATGTAAAAACAATCAATTATAATGTGAGTAATTACCATACCTTAATATCCCCAGATCCCCTCAAACTCAAACTCAAAGTGGCACCAAAAACCATCTTGAGTTTGAAAATTCTTGAAGGAAAAAAATAAACACTTGAAGGTGAATTCATAATTGGGCAAAATTAGAGAGTCCAGTAAAATTCTTCAAGATGAATAACATGTCGAAGCCAACAACTGAAGTGGCGAATCTGTAGTAAATGCAGAGCAATACTAAAATCTGTGGAAACACTAGACTAATAGGAGTTATACACATTCATAATGATCCGTTTGTGACTAAAAAAAATTGAATCCCGTTGCGATCTTTTAGCTGGTTGGAGCAATAAAACTCTGACACCACTATAAAGTTATAATTGAGAGATGTGTAGAATGTTACATGTATAATTAGGTAAATAAATATAAATATAAATCAGTTATATTGAAATATCTTAAATACTATCTATCACATTAATTCAAGAATTAAATATATTATTTGATTATATGAAGACAGTCAATTATGTGATTGATTCTGTGAATACCTTAACAATGCACAGTTAATTATATGGGCAAGTAAATAGGAATAGAATGAGTAATAAGTAAGTTTGCCAAAATTATAACTTTTTCCGATTCAATCATTAATCAAGAGATACTATAGATCCAACAATTAAAAGTTAGCAAATCGTTATACATATTCTTTTTTCTTTTTTTTTTTATTAGCCAATAAGGGATTTATGCATTACCTAAAAATATATAGAACGTTTTACATCTTAATGAAAAACCATAAGAACAGACAACTAAAAGTAAAACTAAACCAGAAGCAGGAAACACCAAACATAACTAGCTGCTGGTGACTCCATTGCAGTCTAAATAAAAAGATGGGGGATCTTCTAACCTTCCCGAGTTGCACATCTTCCTCTCCACTATATCAACATCATTACACATATTCAAATGATCCGATTGTGACTAAACCAAATTGAATATCCTGTTGTGATTAAAACTAAATTTGAATACCATTGAGATTAGAGCTATGGTCCATTGTGATTAGAACTAAAATGTACTAGCTTAGTTCAATTTTACTTGTCATACTTTTTAAACAAGTGATTCAATTTCTTCAAATAACTATCATTTTTTTTACTTTTTCCCAAATAAAGGATTTGAGAATAATAATTTTATTTATTTATAATACTCTTAAAAAAATGATAAAGAGTAATTTTTTGTGATTAGATAATTAATTGAAATAAATAGATAATAATAGAGTTAAAGTAGAAAAAAATATTTATCTACTTTAAAGAATAAAAAAAGAACAATTAATTTGGGATAAATTTAAAGTTAAAAAATTACAATTATTTTCAAATTGAGAAAGTATTTGTTAATTTTATTACGATTAATAATTACTTCACAATTAAAAAGAATACATCACAACTCTTTTCAAAAGAATTTTTGATACCTACAACTAGAGTGTTTTTGGGTCAACTTTAACTTTCAACATACTTTAAAATTACAATTCTTTTCTACACTCTCTATCCCAACCCCCAAATTAGTTGTAGTGTTTTCAATTTTTAAATAAATAAATATTTTTTCCTTATTTTAACATTATCATTATTCATTTATTTGATTAATTATCTTATCATCGGAAGTTTTATTTATCTTTTAACTTTTTCTTAACGGTAATATAAGTAAATATATAAATAGTCTCCAAATTTTTAATTTGAAGAAAAAGTTAGAAAATGACAATTATTATAAGATAGATGGACTAGTGATTTAAAGAGTGTGCCCCTCACGTAAACTTGGTGAATATAAGGAAATTAATTTCCTTAAGTGTTGGCCCTTGAACGCCAAACTTAACTTATTAGACATCATTTGCTTATAAGTATTCCCAACTTTATTTATTCATAATGGTGTGCTACAAGGCAATTTGTAGTACACTACGAACTTCGACAAGGAGATCCCCTCTCCCCATTCTTATTTCTACTTGTGGTAGAAGGGCTAAATAGATTGATTCAAGTAGTAGTCTCTTGACAACTTCTTAAAGCTGTTAAAGTGGGGAATGATGAATTACCCATCTCTCATATACAGTTTGCCAATGACATTATCCTTTTCAGTCAGGCAGCAGAAGGAAATGTGAGGGCAGTTAAAGGTATTATGAGAGCTTTTGAGCTTGTCTCTAGACTGAAGGTTAACTATGGGAAGAGTATGTTGGTTAGGATCAATGTTTGTGATGAATGGCTTTCTAAAACAGCTCGCATCCTTAACTATAAAGTGGGGGAGATCCCTTTCAAATATTTGGGGGTTCTAGTTAGAGGTAACCCAAGGAAGCTAACCCTATGGAAACCATTAGTGGAGCCTTTTAGAAAAAAAGTTATCTGCATGGAAAGGTTGTTATTTATCGCTTGGTGGCCGCATAACTCTTATCAATTCTGTGTTGTCCAATCTTCGAATGTTCCTTATGTCCATTTATCTACTTCCAAAAGGTATCATTCAAATTATTGACAAAATTAGGAGGAATTTTTTGTGGGGAGGTTGTGAAGAGGGTAGAAAGATTAATTGGGTTAGATGGGAAAGAATTTGCACCAGCAAGTGTAAGGGGGGCTTGGGCATAAAAGATTTGAGAAAATTCAATATGGCTCTATTAGGTAAATGGTGGGATAGAATTGCAAATGGGGAGGACAGTTTATGGAATAAGATGATAAAAGAGAAATATGGGGAAAATGGGGGGAATTGGATTAGTTGGTTAAAGGAAGGGAGATGGGCTGGTTCGATTTGGTGGAGGGATGTTTGTAACCTAAATTATTTAGTCATAGATAATTTGGGTTGGTTGGAAGAGAGCTACAAATGTCAGATACGTATGGGGAATGATGTGCAATTTTGGATAGACAAGTGGATAGATAGGGTGTCCCTTGCTGACAAATTTCCTAGGCTATTTTTGTTATTAACAGGCAAGGAAGCAACTGTAAATCAGATGGGAAATTGGAGCAATGGCACTTGGTCTTGGACATTAGGTTGGAGAAGGGACTTACTATCGAGAGAGGCAGAGAAGGTGCAAGAGTTAGAGGAACTGTTGTCATCATCAACAATCGTACAAGGGAGAGCAGACACATGGGTATAGAGACATAGCAAGGACGGCAAATACTCAGCAAAAATGGGGTATGTGATCCTCAAACAATCTGCCATGATGGATCATGAATTCTTCAAGACAATATGGAATTTCATTGCACCAAGTAAGACAAAAGCTTTCTTATGGCAATTGTTCTTAGATAGAATCCCAACAAAATTAAATTTATGGAAAAGAGGGATTATAGAAAATATTGAACAGTGTTTGTGTAGGATTTGTGAGCAAAATGTGGAAAACTCCAGCCACCTTTTTTTCCATTTTGATATTAGCTATGCTCTATGGTTGAAATGTTTGTCTTGGTGGGGACTCATGTCAGCCATTCCATTGAGTTGTAGCATGGCCTTGGATATGCTTTGCAATTTAGTGGGTTCAAAGGGAATGAGTGTAGGGTGGAGGACTGTTTGTATAGCTTCAATTTGGTCTACTTGGCTGGAACGAAACACAAGGATATTTAAAGGAAGTCAGATGGATGTGGAAAGGCTCTTCAAACTGGTGCAATTGAAATCATTTCATTGGATCAAAGGAATGTGGGAGGGGTGTTGCTTTACCTTTTCTTAATGATCCTATGAACGAAGGCTATGCATGTCGGCAACGGTTTCTGGGTCAGTCAGGTTTGCACCGTTAGGGATTCCTTTCGTGAAATTCTCAGTAGGGTTTATCAGATTGAACCAAAACCCCTTGATTTTTTTAACAAGAGCAAGGAGTTTGCAGATGAAATCAATTCTTGGGTATCGGAGAAAACCAGAGGGCTCATCAAGAAAATTTGCTTCCCTCGAGAGCTGGAGATGGACAAACTGATCCTCCTCGTAAACACACTCTATTTCAAAGCAGCATGGCAAAATCAATTCTAGGAATCTTTGACGAAAGAAAAACCCTTTCACCTTCTCAACGGCCAAAAAGTCGACGTTCCCTTCTTGATCGATTCCTTTTTTTTTTTTTTTAAACGGCAATAAATATATTTATTAATAAGCGGAGTATAAGGGGTACCCTAAACCCATAACAATACTGTTTGGAGAGCCTACATTCCCATGAGTGAAATAGCAAGGTGTCGACACCCACTAAAAGTGTCGACACTATACCCGTAACGAAATTCAATCCACCATTGCATACTCTTCATAGCTCCCTGTTCATAACAACAAAAATCTTCCCAATATTGAAGTCCACTGGCAATCATATCATTGAGCATGCATTGACTACATCTACTTAACGCACTCAATCCATTAAGGAGTAGACTATAGTCAAGAGCTGCTCAAAGTAGCCATCATGACCCAACTCAATTTCTATACTAAGCAAAAATTATGCAGCCCGATATCTCCTCATCAGTCCCTCTTTTTCCTACCAGCATGGATGCCTTTAAGACATTCTACTAGGTTAATTAGCCAATCTGAGAGGGTAAAAGCATACCTGTCCCATTTTGCAGTGACCCATTGATAGGATCTCAATTGTATAGTTTCCAGCAGCTTTCCCCAGTCAATTTTTTTGTCTTGGAAAATTCTTTGATTTCGAACAAGCCACACTGCCCAGATTACATTGCTCCAAATGCAGTCCCAGCCTTCCCTTAGCCGTGGGTCTTTGCTCCCTTTCCCAAATAGTTGAAAAGATTTCCAGCAGTCCTTCTCCAATAGAATCTCGATCCCCCACCATTTAGCGCACTCTTGCCACACCCATCTGGTTGTTCTGCAGTTTAAGAACAGGTGTGTAGAGTCTTCATCTTCCTCATTACAAAGGACGCATTTTCC